GCTAATGTGTGTGTTTAAGTCATTTTTTAAACAAAATGTTTAAAAAGTTAAAAAATGAATAAAAGCTTATATAATAAGGATGTAAAAAAAGAAATATATTTTTGTACAGCTGTATAATGTATTTGTGTTTTTTTGTTTTGAGTTGGAGTCTCTATCGCCCAGGCTGGAGTGCACATGTTCAGGGCCACCCCAGCGTCAACCTGCCGGGCTCTGGCAATCCTTCCGCCTCAGCCTTCCAAGTAGCCGGAACTACAGGCATGTGCTACCGTGCCCGGCTAATTTTTTTATTTATTGTAGAGACAAGGTCTTACCATGTTGTCCGGGCTGGTCTCGAACCCGCAGGCTCAGGCAATCCTTGCCTTGGCTTCTCAAAGTGCTGGGATTTCAGGCTTGAACCACCATGCAAGCCTGTATTTGTGTTTTAAGTTAAGTGTTATTATGAAAGAATCAAAAAGTTTTAAAATGTTAAAGTTTATAAAGTAAAAATGTTACAGTAAGCTAAGATTAATTATTAAAGAAAGAAAATTTATAAAAATAATTTAGTGTAGCCTAAGTGTACAGCATTTATAAAGTCTACAGTAGTATATAGTATATCCTAGGACTTCACATTCACTCACCACTCACTCACTGACTCACCTAGAGCAACTTCCAGTTCTGTAAGCTCCATTCATAGTAAACTCCCCTGCAGGTGTATGTACCATTTTAAAAAAACCTTTTATACCATATTTTTACTGTATATCTTCTATGTTTAGATATGTTTTGATACACAAATACCATTGTGTTACAACTGCCTATAGTATTCAGCTGTATGCTGCACAGGTTTGTAGTCTAGGAGCAATAGGCTATATACCATATCGCCTAAGTGTATAATAGGCTCTACCACCTAGGTTTGTGTGGCTACATTCCATGATGTTCACACAATGATGAAATTGCCTAAGGATGCATTTTTCAGAACCTATTCCTGTTTTTAAGCAATGCATGACTGTATTGAAAAGCTGATCAGACAGAGGATCCAGAATGATAAAATACAGAAAATAGAGAAATGGAAAGACTGTAAGAAATAATAGTTGAGGATGTTCCAGGTTTGATAAAAGGCATGATTCCTCAGACTCTAGGAGCAACTTAAACCCAAGAGAGCTAATTATAGGAAACACACAGAAGTGAAACACAGAACACCAAAGTCAAAGAAAAGACTGTAAAAGCAAACAGTGAGAAAAAGCATCTTCCTATAACGAAGCAAAAGCAGACTCTCCAATAATAGCAATGGAAGCCAGAAGGCAATAGAATAATATCATCAAATGCTGAGAGAAAACTGTCAACCTAGAATTCTGCCTTCAGCTAAACCATTCATAAGAATAAAATAGACATTTTCAAACAAATAAAACCTGAGTTTTGTACCACTACTAGACCCTAATGAAAAAAATTACTGAAGAATAATCTTTAGAAATTAAACCCAAAGGAAGGAGTATGATGCAAAAAGCAAAAAATTTCTTGGTGAAAAAGTTGACACAAACACTGACATTATTTTAAGAAATGATGACTACTAAAGGGTAAAAACCAAAATTAAGGGTACAAGAAAATCGTATATAAAATGGACAAGGTATGGTAAAATTAAAGGATTCTAAGATTCTTGAATTGTTGAGAGATAACTATAGATAATGATTCATTTTTAGACTCTTTTAATTTCAGCATGCATGTTAAAATTGTAAAGGTAAAGATAGAAATAATATGTAGTTTCCAAACCAGAAAAGGGAAATAAAATGTAAAATATGATTACTAGTCATACTTCACAGAACATGAAACTAAGGTTTATTAAAACTAACTGATGGTTGGGTGCAGTGGCTCATGCCTGCAATCCCAACACTCAGGGAGGCCAAGGCAGGAGGAATGCTTGAGCTCAGGAGTTCAAGATCAGCCTGGGCAACACAGCAATACTTCATCTCTACAAAAAATAAAAAGTCAAACAATTAGCTGGGTGTGGTGGCATGTGCCTGTTGTTTGAGCTACTACTTGGGAGGCTGAGGTGGAAGTATCACCTTAGCCCAGGAGGTTAAGGCTGTGGCAAGCCATGATTGTACCACTCCAGCCTAGGTGACATAGTGAGGCCCTGAACTAAAAAAAAAAAAAGAAGAAGAAGAAGAGGAGGAGGAAGAAAAGGAAGAAACAGAAAAACTAACTAGGAGAATGTGACAACTTCATGTCTTTCAGCACCAAGTTTTTTTCCTGCAATGTCATATAGCCTCTGATTTAGGTGATATATTAACATAATAATGTGTTACCCTGATGTCCAATTTAATATGGCAAAATCTCACAACACTGCAAGAATATCTTATATTAAATAGCACTTTGTAGTTAAAGCACTGTGATTTACCTAACAGTTCTCTTATTTCTCATTTCCAGTTCATTTTTACCTACCCTCTTTATTCCTACATTCATTCCTACATTATTCCATATAATTCTCCTACCAAATTTTTAGTGTTTTTCTGTCTCTTCCTCTTTCCTGTTTTGCATTTTTTAACTTTGTGTATGTCTGTATGTGTGTATATATATATATTTGTAAATATGTAATATATTTATATATCATAAATATGATATTATGTATATATATACTATACATGAGTTATATAAATACTATATATAAGTAAACTTTTTAATCTAAATCTCAGTGTGTAGGTTATGAAGCATGACAGATCCTAAATGCATAGCTTTTGTTGGGATACAATTTGTTTGAAAGGTTTCACAAGTAACAAAAGATAGTGGTACTCAGGTCGGTTTCATTCTATTGTAGTGCTCTGTCACTGAAGCAAGTGTGTAATGTGAAAAAAGGTGTAGAACTATCTGTAGTAACAATCTAGTTTCCAAATCTTAGCAGTGGTATATGGTTCCCTGGCACACTGTTGCTAGGGTCAAACGTTTTATCTCTACACGTTGGTAGTGATTCTCTTTCTCCTTGCCAAGACCATTTAAATTGGTTTCCAACTGTGTATATTCTATTTTGAAGCAGTGAAATCTTCAGGGTGTGCCCAAGACAGTAGTTCAAAGTCTTGAACTCTTTAGTCGAGAACTCTATTATAAGAAATAAATAGTATTTAATACTGTAAAATAAACCTATAGGATTCCAGTATTGCAGGCAATTATTATATCTGGAGGCACAGAAACCTTGGACAATTAAAACCTAGCTCTAATTTAAACAACTGCCCCTCTAACCAAAAAATAAAACAAAGTAAAATAATTATAGATGCAAAAAGCAAATATGTCAAAAAAGATGACATGGATTTGCTCCTTTTATTTCTCCCTATTAATTACTAAAAGTAAATGTCTCCATTGTTCTTCTCTCACCCTGCTTTAACTCCCCATAAGAGAATCTAGGAAAAGATAAACCCCGTGTAAGCCTTGGTAATCACCAAAGAGAATAATCCATGTTCGAACAGCCAAAACTGTGTCCTGTTTTACAATCATTTATTGCTAGCTGAATAATGCCATTACTAAGAAAACAAGTCTATCAAGCTCAAATAGAATTTCTTCTTTTACAAGTACATGAAAATACAGTGACAACAAGAAAAATTAACAACAAGAAAATTAACAAGAAGAAAAAAAATTATTAACAACAAGAAAAAAAACCCCACTTAATTGAGCAGCTGAAGATATTTGGAGGAGTATTCTTTGTAGTAGTGAAAACATAATAAAAATAACAGATGGTACTTGAGATGACAGGGGCAATAGGTTAGGAGGAGGAGGATAAATAGAGAATTACAGGTAAAGGATTAACAAGCAGAACAGTCAACTGTGTGGTCTCAGAAAATGGTGCTAGTAAATTAGAGATATAATTTCCTGATTTCATGGAGACAGATCTGGGCCATGCAGGAGCTGAAGCCCTTATTCTCATGGTGAAAAGTACAAAGCTCTGTCAGTTGATTTTCAAAGCACAGCTATTAATGCCAGAGTCAGGGGGGTGGAAGTAACAACAAACATCCAGCCGTATGTTCTGATATTCTGAATAAGATTGCAAGATAAATAAAGCAATGAAGCTAGTTTCCTTAGCATTGCTCCAGAAGAGGTCCTTTAAAATGGGGCCATTCTGGATTAAGAATCACTTAAGTAGTCAACAGATATAGAAGTGATTAGCAGTTTTCTAGTCTTATAGACCTTTCTCCACAAAAAAAAAAATCAGAAGAGTTTGGAAGGCTGGGGCGGAAGGATCGCCGGAGCCCAGAAGGTCGAGGCTGCAGTGGCTGGGAGCAGTCACTGCACTCCCGTCTGGGCAACTGAGTGAGACTCCAACTCAAAAAAAAAAAAAAAAATCAGAAGAGCCAAAGAATAAAAAACTGAAAAATACATCAACTTGAGTCATAATTCTGTTTCCTTTTCTTCCTCCCCCAAAAAGGGGCTCCTCTCTCTGTCTCCCTTCGCATAGAATCCTGTTCTTCCTCCTCTATTATTCTTTCAGGGTGGTCTTTAAATGTTCTTTCCCATACCTTCTGAGTGTCTGTCTTATGTGGCGCGTAGCACAGAAGCCCTGTCAACTGCACGGGGCCTGCACCACACAGTCAGTCAACATCTTTTCCTGACCTTTAGACAGGTCATCAGCCTAGCATGTCCAACTGCTGATGTCTGCAGAAAGCTCTGAGAACAATGCTGGTCAATGTCTCTGCTACCAATCACTTAACTAATTCATTACAAGTCCACTCTCAGAGTTCTCTTTTAAACCACTCACACCCAAACCAAAAAGGTATAAATCAGAAAAACAGATGAGATGTTCTTTATCGTTGGCAGGAAAGAGAAAACAAAGCAAACCAAATAAAAGAGATAAAACTGAAAACCCCCAAATCAGACTGCAAAACAATATTCTGCTGACATTTAAAATAATAATTGCATGGCAACAATTTAACTGCTGCCTTCTTGCCTGCGATTCCAGATTTCTCTTGCTGGAGACTGTATGCAATTTTCATTTCTCTGCGTACTTAGTGCTTCACACTGAACCAGCATTATTTTCTACTTACTTGTGCTTGCTTGCATACTTTAAAAGGCTGAAGTGTTTCCTGGTAGAAAAGCTGATGATAAGCCTGTAGGTCAAACCAAAAGTACACACTGTTCTTCCACAACTGCAGATGGAAAAAGCACATAAATTATTACCACCTAATTATTAAAGCTCTACAAAACTCTAATTTCAAATATAAATTAAATGATTGCTTAGGTCCTTGCTGTTACCATAAATCAGGTTCAATTTAAAATGGTTTTAATCTTCTATCACAAACTGGCAGTATATAAAATATTTATTGTTATTGTTGCTAGAACATTATATTTTTGCATGTATGCATTTCATATAATTGGTCATTAAAATAGTAAGTGTTCTAGTTAATAGTTAAAGAGTAATCACATATTTCTGGCATGAAACCAAAATCTGAAGGTATTTTGATACACACGGGCAAATGTATTTAGTAGCTGAACAAAACATTACTCTAATGATCAAACCAGTTAAAAACTTTTCATTTGAGAAAATGAAGATTGTGATTTTTAAAAAAACTGAAAAACTGATTGGAAATAGTTCTGCCACTAATTAGCAAGTAATTAATTTTTCAATTAAAAATAGGATTTATAGAAATCAACTATGAATTTTAAATGTTACATTGAAATAAAGTTATATGAAAATAAATGATTGTTAGTGGTACAAATCAATCTTTGTCTATTTTACTTTCTTTGCAATTTTAGTAGAATGGTGAACCAGATAATTGGAAATGAGATGTTTACAGTTTTACTAAATATTAAGTATGAATTTTCTTACCAGAGATGGGAATTTTAACATCAAATATAATTATCTGAACACTGAATCACTTCAACACTTCTTATTTTAAAATGAAGTAAAATTATAAAATTTAAACGCAAACAGTTCTTTTCTACCTTGTTCCCTGAATGCTCACAGAATTTGGTAAAGAAGAATCCAGCTCTATTTTCTACATACAAAGATTGCAACAAATTTTCCATGTCAAATCCTCCCAGGGCACCAACATGTGATATAGTTTTAACCTAGATAACAAAACAGAAGTCCATTACCCACTCAAAAACACTAATTTTTTTATGGCATGCACAACAGGGTTTCATAAATTCTGCCAGGTTGTCATTGTCCCACTGAACTATTTTATGTGTTTGTACCATATATGTAATTAATGCAATATGTTTGCATCTGACTGTCATATAAGATTCATTTATGGAGCCCAACTATAGCAGCAGAATGCATTCTCTCATAAACCAAATTAATTTCAAATTTAATGTTGAAGTAACTTCCCAGCCTCAATTATTTGCATGTTTCAGGCACAGTAATACCATTTTAGGAGTCTTCCAGATCTTTGTTGGTGGCCTCTTTCCTACATATTTACTACTATTTTAGCCTTGAGATGCTGCGATTATAACTACAAGAGGGTTATAAAAAGAACTATCTCCAAACCTCTCAGTGCTGCTCATTAACTGTCCTGAGGGGGGCCCTCTTCGGACAGTCTCACCCCGTACAGGTCACGGCCTGCACAGTGTAAATGGCATTATAAGTTCTCATAAAACTTTGCTGTTTATGAGCTTCTCTGCCAACAACGCTGGCAACCCTAATGCCATTTTTAAAACATAGAAAGATTCTTTCTCCAAGCACAACTGTGACTCTAAGATAGGCATCTACGATCTGTTTTAACTCTTTGTTATATGTTTTGTGAAACTCCTAGACTTCTTTGTAATCTTAAGATCAGTGTGAACAATTTAGGGTTTAACTAAGCTTCTTGCTCTTTTTGTCATACCATCTCTCCAATTCTCTCTTTATCTGCCTGCAAAACAAATTCTGAGGGGAGAATTCAATGTTTTTACTGTTTAACTATCAGCATCCCAAACTAAAATATATTTTAGTAGGAAAAAATTCAAATTAGAAGAAAAGAACAATTTTCTTAGAATAAACAGTTACACAGAATTATAGCTAAGACGTCACATGTCAGACTGTATTGGGACCACAATCCCTACCAAAAGTATAATCCTTAGGGAATATAACTTTTCTTTAGAATTGGTACATTAAATCCATGTTATCAGGATAGCTTTACTCTGGAAATACCCCACCTTTTAAAAATTCTAGACTTGAAAAAATATGACATCAACTACTATTTTTAACAAGTATTTAAAAAATTGATTAAAAAAAAATTCTATAGGGTCTTATTTTGTCCCTGGGGTGTCATCACACCAAAACTAGAACACAAGTTATTTTTGAAAACAGTAGTCAATGCAGTATATAGCAACATGGTACTGCCAAGCACACACATATATGGAACCTTTTGTATTAAAAATCATTTGACAAAAAAATCAAATGTGTTGCTTGGTAAAGAAAAAATATTATGATAGATCAATAAAAATTCTCTAAAATCAGGGAGCATTGATCAGTTAAATGGGAGATCAGGTTATTCAGTCCTCAAAATACTTACCTTAGGTTCTTCTGTATAAGAATATCTTCTATTCAGATGGGGCTTCAGACATTCAGAAATGTCAGTGAAAGATGTTAAATGAACAGCATTGCTGCTTTCCAATAGATGCCTTGACCTAAATTATAAAGATGAGAACTAATTGATCAACAAGCAAATTCTGAGCATTTTTTGGTATGCATGGCACCAAATCTTAGTAGTGTTTCTGAACAATATGAGAGAATTAGAACAAAAGCATAAGCATTGGTACCAGGCCTGAAGAGGCAGAAGAGAAAATTAGGTATAGTCATACAGAAAGACAACTCTCAAAATAGCTGCTGGTGGAATGAATTCAAGAGAGCATATCATAGAGGCCAAATGACTGGGATGGGCAATAAATACGATGGGAGTATAAAAATGAGAAGTTCCTTCAACCTATATTAGTAATTGAAGAAATGATATTTTTCCTAAAAAACAGTAGGAGATATATTCCATGTATATATACCTGGGGATCTGTGTGTGTTTTGGAGGGGTTTTTTAAGATAGGAAGAATTTATTTTAAAAATAACCAATTTGCTTAGGGTATTTAAGTGAACACCAAACAGTGTGCTAAATAGAATTCATATTATAATATTTAATCCTCACAACAGGTTGGATACACAAGTTATTATACAGGTTAGTTTGGGTGAGATAATGGAGGCCTTTGGAGTTAGACTAATGACTTTGGACATTATCTTTCTATATTTTCCTATTCAGCTTCCTCTCCCATTGCAATTATTCTAAGACTTATTTTCTAGCTTCATAAAACATGCCTGCTCTACCTCACCAACCTATTTCCACTCCAATCCACCAGCAGATTACCTTGCAGGTTCTTCTCACACAAAATGTAGGTACAACATGCTTCAGTTTCCACTCCCTCATGTGGCAGATATTGTTAACTTGCTGCCTAACCCAACACCCATTTCCAGTGACACAGCACCACTTCTATACACAGCACCACTGAGATTCTGAAAAAGCTAAACATTCACTTCCCAAGACTCCTGTGCAGAGTGAAGTAGCCGTGTAATACAGTTATGACTTACGAGACATAAAATGACATCTGCTGGGAGCTTCTAAGAAAGCCTGCTTTCCTGATAAAAGGGGGAGGGTTAATGGAAATTGCCCTTCCTCCTCCTTTCTGACTTGAAAAGTCTGATGTCTGGGGCTGCAACACATCTGGCTATGAGGGAATGGCAGGGAGCACTACAAAGATACTTCTGACCCAGTGAACCAATATTGGCAGTTGCCTACCTTCAGATTTCTTGTTATGTAAAAAAATAATTTCAATCCATCTAAGCCATTGTTAGTCAGGTTTTTTGTTATTCGCAGCTGAAAGCATTAAATAATCCATAAACATATCCACCTGTACCCATTCTCACTTCTTTCCATCTTGTCTCAGGAAGAGGTGCCCCACCTCCTGCCCATGGTTAATCTCATCCCCTTGCTTTGAACCCCTCCCTCTAGTCCCCTTTGAAAGTGAAGACCTTCTGTCTTTCTCTTGTATCTTCGATGTCTCCATTTCAACTCTACACATATCAATAGAACACTGTAAAAATACCCTTTCTGATGAAAACAAAAACACAATGGACAAAATGTATGGCATGCAGCTAAATCAGTGCTTAGAGGGATATTTTATAAATAAAGCTATAAAGGCCTATATTGGAAAAGAAAGAGAATTCAAATCAATAATCTAACCTTCCACCTTAATATATTAGCAAGAGAAGAAAAACTAAACCCAAAGCAAGCTGAAAGAAGGAAAAAAATAAAGATTAGAGTAGAAAGAAATAAAATAGAAAAGCAAAAGTAAAATTAAAGAAACCAAAAGTTGATTATTTGAAAAGATCAACAAAATTGACAAGCCTTTAACTTGATTAACCAAGAAAAAAGTGAGAATATTTAGATTACTTAAAATAGAAATGAAAGAGACATCAATGCTAACTTTATAGAAATTTAAAGGATCACAAAGGAATACTATGACCAACTGTATGCAAACAAGTTAGGTAACTTGATAAAATGAACAACTTTCTAGAAAGACATAAATCACCGAAAATGACTCAAAAATAAATAGAAAACTTGAATAGACCTATAATAAGTAAAGAGATTAAATTAATAACTTAAACTATTCCCATGAAGAAAAGCCTGGTGGTAGTGGGAAACTGCCAGGGGAGAGTGGGCACACCTCATCAACAAGGGTACCTGCATAATGAACATTTGTATATCTAACCCTGAACTGTATCCCATATATTTAAAATAAAAAATTAAAAAAGAAAAAAGAAAAGCCTGGGTCCAAAAGCCTTCACTAATAAATTCTATCAAATACTTAAAGAAGAACAAATATGTTCTTCTCAAATTCTTCCAAAATTAGAAGAGGAGGGGACACATTCCAAATCATTCTACAAGGCAGTATTACCTCAATGCTAAAGCCAAAGATATCACAAAAGAACACAGACTAATATCCCTTACAAATACAGAAGCAAATATTCTCAACAAAATATCAGTACATTGAATCTAGAAACATATATTAAAAAAAGATTATATACCAAAACAAATGAGGCTTGGCTAGCATCCCGGGAATGCAAAGGTGGTTTAATATCCCAAAATCTATTAATGTACTGCACCAGAGCAATAGAACAAAGAAAGAAAACCAAATAATCATCTTGATAGAGGCAGAAAATTTTGACAAAATCTAAAGCATATTTATGATTTAAAAACAAAATCCTCAACAAAGAAATTCCTCAACTAGAGTATCTATGAAAAACCTATAGCTAATATTATACTTAATGGTGAAAGGCAGAATGATATCCTTCTCCTAAAATAGGGAACAAGAGCAGAGTATCTGCTCTCAGCCTTTCTATTCAACACAGTACTGAAGATGCTGGCCAAAGCAACTAGGAAAGAAAAAGAAAAAAAGGCATTCTAATAAAGAAGAATTAAAAATGTCTTTATTATCAGATGATATGCTCATATATACAAAATCCTAAGAAATTCTCTAAAACACTACTAGAACTAATAAATAAGTTCAGTAAGGTCACAGGGTACAAGATAAATATACAAAAATCAACTAAATTTCCATACACTAGCAATAAACAGTTCAAAATGAAATTAAGAAAGCATCTTCATTCATAATAGTTTCAAAAAGATCAAAATACTGAAGGATAACTTTAACAAAAATGTTCTCCTGTAAATCCAATGACTTTTAACTATTATTCTGACTCATTCCAAATCTTTATATACAGAGTAATCTATAGAATATGACTCAGGAACAAAAAGGACACACTATGGATACATGCAACAACTTAAATAGATCCTGAGGAAATTATGCTGAGTGAAAAAAAGTTAATCTCAAAAGTTTCTTACTTTATGACTCTATTTATATAACACTCTTGAACTGACAAAATTATAGAGATGAAGAATAGAGTAGCAGTTGCCAGTGGCTAGAAAAAGGGAAAGGCCCAGAGAAGTGGCTGTGGCTATAAAACAGTAGCTCAAGAGAGCCTTGTGATGGAACTGCTTAGGATTTCAACCACAGTAACATGAAAGTGCACCTGCTATCCAGGCTCAGTGGCTCAGTCTGTAATCCCAGGACTTTAGGAGGTGGAGGCAAGTGAATTGCCTGAGCCCAAGGGTTCAAGACCAGCCTGGGCAACTTGGCGAGACCTCCTCTCTACAATAAATAAAAAATTAGCCGGGTGTGGTAGTGCGCATCTGTAGTTCCGGCTACTTGGAAGGCTGAGGTGGAAGGATTACTGGAGCCCAGCAGGTTGACACTGGGGTGGTCATGAGAGTGCCATGGCACTCTAGCCTGGGCAATGGAGTGAGACTCCAACTCAAAAAAAAAAAAAAAGTGTACCTGTGACCAAATTGTATACAACTAAATACACATACACACATAAAAGAGCATATAAAACTGATGAAATATGATGAGCTAGATGAATTGTATAAATGTCAATTTCCTGAATCTATACTATAGCTATATAAGATAATACCATTGGAAGATACAGAATGAAGGGTATAGGGGATCTTTCTATATCATTTCTTACAACAACATTCAGATCTACAATTATCTCAAAATTAAAGTTAAAAGAAGGGTGGGTTATACTAATTGGTTCCCCTTCACCTTCAGTATATTCTTCCAGCTACAGTCATCTGATTTCTGACTCTTCAAGTTTATCTCTGTAACCTTATCAACAACTTTGTCATTGACAAATAAAATGAACACTCACTGCTATTTCTTGACTATTTTGTGACATCTAACATCCTTTTGAAATTCTTCCTTCCCTTGGCTTCCATGCCACCACTCTTTCCTATATACACATCTTCTGTCTCTCAGATAACTCCCTCTTAGTCTTCTCTTCTGGCTCCTTATCCTCTACCTTTACTCTAAAGCTTGATAACTTAGTTTTTTTCATTATATACTACTCTTTTTTTCTCTCATGATCATCTCTTCTATGCCCATAGCTTCAACTACCCCTTAGAGTATAATGTTTCCCAATTTTTTTTTACTTACAGTTAGTCTCTTCCTGAGCTCCTAATGTATAGTTCAGCTGTTTTGAACATGTATATTCCAATGTACTTTTAAATTTTTAATTGTGATAAAACATACATTTTCAATATTGAAACTCAATGCAGTTTTATCTCATATCTCAAGAGTTATCTTAGGCTCAATATTTATTCACTCAACAAATATTAACTGAAAACATATGATATGCCAGACACCGTACTGTACACTGGAGCACTACCTAGCAGAACCATAAACTAAACTTATCATTTGCCTCCTCCAATTCTGCTTTTCCCTTTTTCTGAGGATAACAAGTTCACAGAAACTATTGTAAAAATAGCTCTCACACATATAAAAAAAAATGTTCAACTTAGTCAAAATGAGAAATACCATTTTTAAAACCTATCTGATTAGCAAAGGTAATACATACTGCACTGGTGCTATACGGTTAAAAAAAGGTCACTCATACATGTTGAATAACTTGTTCCAACTCCTATGAAAGACAATTTGGTAATATCCAGCAAAATTTTAAAAACAGCTAAAGCTTGACTCAAAAATTCTACTTTTAGAAATGTATTCAACGTATGTGGTGTGTGTGTGTGTGTGTGTGTGTGTGTACAAAACAATCTACTGCAATATTGTTTGTAAAAGCAAAAAATTGTCTATTCCATCAATAGAGTAAAATACAATCTTTGGTTAAAAAATGAAAGAATCAGACATGGGGGAAACAAAATGACAGAATAAGAACAAGAATCAAAATATATTATGGTATATCTATTGCTATAGTACAACTACTGCTATGTGTTAAAAAAAACTTCTAAAATATATTAATAAAAAATAAAAAAACAAGGTACAGAATATTTCATGCCACTATTTTTGAACTATGTATATTTATAATTTTAAAAAATAATTTAATTTAGCTGGGCTCAGTGGCTCAGCCTGTAATCCTACGCTTTGGGAGGCTGAGGTGAGTGAACTGCCTGGGTCCGTGGGTTTGAGACCCACCGGGGCAACTTGGCAAGACCTCATCTCTACAATAAATCAAAAAACTAGCCAGGTGTGGTAGTGCACACCTGTAGTTCCAGTTACTTGGAAGGCTGAGACGGAAGGATCACTGGAGCCCAGCAAGTCGAGGCTGCGGTGGCCGGGAGCAGCCACTGCAC